TTCACATAAATTGTACCGAGGACTGGTATGAAAATAAGCAATGTAGATAAAAACATCTGATACAATATGTAAGGGATTGAATCGTAGTTCTTAAAACAAATAATATGCCAAAGGCTATAAATCTTTAGAATACGTCGATATATAAGCCCAAAAAAAGTTTACCTAAAAAATATTTTACGAGTTTTATATTATTTTATTGAAACAGACTACATGACTACATTAATAATAAGAGTTACCACATTTATTTTCAAATCAGGAATTTTACAGGAGAACACGCCAAAATTTAAGATTGCATCAATACATACAAAAAAAATATTTTTATATTAAACGACGCTTCAAAAACTCTTAAAGTTCTGTACCGATTGAGCTTAAATTTTGACACGCTATACAACACGCTTCAAAGCTGGTTTTTAAATATATTTTTCAACTACAATGTGCAAAGCGAAGGTAGTCAAGTGGCTAAGGCATTAGATTTGCGATCAAGAGGTCGTGGGTTCGAATCCTGACCAGTACACTACCGATGTGAACCCACTCCTAACACAAGCAATTTAGCTCAGCTGGAGGGGTTAACGGGAATACAGAATACGTGGCAGGTTACAGATAGTATTTTGTATTTACTATAATATATACGTTAGATATTAGGTAAATTATAGTAAAAGATTATTAATTATTTTCTAAATATTCGTGTCTCGAGAAATAACATCGATCATTGTTGACGGACAGTCGTGCTGTACGACCCTGTTAACGTATCTATTTCAATAAGTATGAGGAAAAATCAACTTTTTGATAAATCTCCTGAACACAATGTTGTTTGTAGGTCAATAGTAAAATAAAAACAAGAAAGCTGCATATCCGATCCGTGATCCGTGTTAATAGGGACACGTAAGGTATATACTGGTGACTGCACGGATGGCGTAGTGGTGAAGGCGGTCGCCACGCCGTCGCGTTGCCTACTACACTGAGTGTTGTCGGTTTGATTCCCACGTGGGACGACATTGTGTGCTCCACACATTGTTGTCCTGAGTTTGGGTGTTCTTTGTATCCGTTTCATGTATTCTTGTAGTCTCCCGCGACACAGGATATATTCCTAATGCGGGAGTTGTATTTTTAAAAGACAAAAAGCAAAACAAAAATATAGGAATAATTAAAAAACACTTAAAAAGAGTAGGTAGGTAAAGGAATTTCGCGTCTGTCAAAGATTAATAATCAGCATAGATGTCAAACTGTAAGAAGACACAAATAAGTAACGACTATCGCAACAAGCGAATAAAATCTTATATTTATCTATTGTGTTATAATGTACTAATATTAATTCAATGTATTGATCGCAGTTCAATCTAAGATTGTTATAAATTATATTTGTTTTTCAATTTATTTATTTTTATAACAGACAAAGCAAAGTGCCCGCATTAGGAATATATCCTGTGTCGAGGGGCACTTTTACAAACATACATGAAACGGACACAAAGAACTCCCAGACTCAGAACAACAAGTTGCGGACCACAGAAAGTGATTGAGCCCACAACGCTCAGCGTAGTAGTAAGCGGCATGGCGACCGCTTAAACCACTACGCCATTCGTGCAGTCATGAGTCATTGAGGTCGCACACGCTTTTAAACCTGCTCCTGCACCAAAAAATAGTAGTCAAGTGTGTGTGAATGTCGCCTATAAACATTTAGAGACGCAACGTTACATGAGACGCACTTTCAGAAGTCCAGTGTAGGAGTAAGTTTTGAAACTATACCGCTATGAGAGCTAGATTTACCATATATTTATTTACACTTCCTGCAAATACATTGGCATAAGGCGGACTTAATGCCATAGGCATTTTCTTCCAGTCAACCTTTGGTTGATGCAGAGATGTGTGTGTGGCAGGTGTACAATTAGAGCAGATGAGATAAAAAAAAATGTTGTCAGTTGCAAGATGTTAGATATTTAGTGAGTATATTGATAAAAAAAATACTAATAATCAAATACTGTAATATTTCAATCTGTATACTAAAGGGCTACGCACTAGTCACTCGAGTCGCAGGTATTCATGTGCAATGCTAATCACCTTCATAAAAATTTAATAGCCCAGATGCACGTAATCTTTTCTAAAAACCACACAACACCAAGTCTTATTCCTATTAAATCTATGAGATTTGGGTTAAATCCGCAATCACTCACGCCTGATCAAACACGTTGACAAGTCAAGGCAATTGAGATCGTTACCATATCACTTGGCGAATGTAAACAGTTATCGTTAAATAAAAATGTATGTTTATCCACACATATTGCAATATAGATAATATCTACCTAAATAGAACATTTATTCTTTGAACTTATTCTTGCGGAAAAATTTGTTTGTAGGTTTGTGTGACTACTACTGTCTACTTAATACACTATAACACCTCCATAAATTATTTACCTAGAAAATCAATATCGGCAAACATTTTCAAGCTAGTGTGAAAATAAAAAAAGTTTTAATTATAAAGACTCCTAACTCGTCCTTAAAGCTTCGATGTCAGTTGTATTTAAATAACAGTAGAAAATACTTGATCATCCGAATAAAGCAATAGGAAGGTAGAATGATATAAAGAACTGCGGACTTGGGATCATACAGTAGAGTTGTGAGGCCAATCCTAGTTAATAGAACATTTAGTTCGACTGCTTAACAAGAACACGATTAAGATTGAATAGAATTTGTCACAAGAAATGGTTGTTTATATTACTGTGCGGAGCGCGTGAGAAGTTTCCGTCCAGGATTTTCCAAACTTGTCCAAGCAAAGGAAATGTACGCAATTTCTGGTCAGTGTCATAGTAATGTGAGAACTATTTTACTAATTATCTTTTACTAATACTTGCCTTACTTCTGTAAACACTAACTTTGATCTGCAGTAACAATTATATCATTGATATCACCAACCAATATCAAAAAACTATTTCGCAAACTGAATACTAAAACAATATTTAGAATTCCCTGTGGGATAAAACAGATGATCATATAACAGTTCCAAGATCTTCACTTGCTCGTACTTAAAATGCGTGGAACATGACGTGGTATGCACAACTTGTCATGAATAACAAATCAAAGCAATAAGCATATAGATGAAAGATACGAGATATCGTCACTCATTACAAATTAACAGGTTGGATACAGAGATGATGTCAGATGGGTTTCCTGCCACGCCTTTGGAAATACCACACTCTTGCATTTTGACGCCAAGAAGAGCAAAAATGATGTCTGACGTAATAAAGAAAAAACATATATTGCGTAAACTCCAGGAGATCTACATTACAACATATGAATGTCTAACTATGATGAAATTGGTCGTAAGACAGTTATTCGTATGAATTTTTAGTCCGTGTGGTGACGGATTAAGAATACAAATTGTCACCACCCCAATTCATCCCGTGGGTGTCGTAAGAGCCGACTAAGGGAGCAAACTAAGCAGGACAACAGCACTGCAAAGAGAAGGAAAACTTGAAACAAACCCAATACCGACCCGTCTGGCCAGCGTGGTATAGTAGGCCAAAACCTCCTTTCTAAGGAGAGGCCTATGTCCAGCAGTGGACTAGTATAGGCTGTTGATGTGATGATGATACGATTTTGTTATGAGAAATAAGATTTTGCTGAAGTCAGTAGATGGAATACAAATTAGGCATAATGGTCGGTTAAAAATTCTCAGTAATATGATGTGTAGAAACGTGTGCGACTGACGACAATAAGCTCGGCTCTGTTACAGAGAACTAACCAATGACAAAAAATACTTATCCCTTTGGGTTTTAAGTGCGTGAGTACACATACAAATATATAATAAAGAGTACTTAAATAAATCTGGTTTTTTGCTTTATCTGATAATGTTCTCGCAGTCTATTTAAATAAGTCTTAAGTGAATAGGTCGGTTTCTAGGGTATACCTGGTTCCCCGGCTATTAGTACCCGAGACGGCGTGCGGTTTTAGTCGGTTCGAGTCCGACATGCCACCGATAGGTGGTATCCGAGGGGATTTCCGCACGGAATGATATGATGAGCAGAGAATTTCTTTCTTTCTTTTTTCTTTTTTTATATAGACAACTCCCGCACTAGGAAAATATCCGGTGTCGCGGGGGACCTTACAAACATACATGAAACGGACACAAAGAACACTCAGACTCAGAACAACAATTTGTGGATCACACAAAGTGTCGTCAAATGTGGGGTTTGAACCCACAACAATTATTGTCATCATTCTATCCGTAGGAAACTTTGAATACTACTTTTAATACCAACTTTCTATTCTTCATTAAAATGCACTGAATATGAAAAAGTATCTGTAATGATTTTTTTAATTTAAACTCATCTTTTATGAAAATATGTAAGTTCTATAAAAATATACCTGTATCGTATGTATAGTCACACTCTGTTTTGTGTTTGATATAAATAAAATAATTACATTTTATGCATAAATCTATACAAAAAAAAATGAAATTGAAGTGTCTGTTTCTAATGTAAAAATATTAGGTTTTTTTAAAGCTCACGCGGTTATTTGCAGGATACCTATGCCTAAAAAAAGTTTTTTTTTTTTGTCTGTCTGTTTGTTCCGGATAATCTTTTAAACGGCTGGACCGATTTTGATAATATTTTACTACCAGGTAGCTGTCTATATAAGGAGTAAGAGTTTTGCCCAGTCCGGGAATCGAACCCCCCAAGGCAGCGCTTTTCAAATTCCACGCAAACGAAGTCGCGGGTCCCAGCTAGTTACAAATAAATAAGTCCTTTAGTATGATGTGTATTACTACACTATTACAATTACAGCATTCCACGGTGCAACTTTAGATAACGTAATCTACTACTAAACAATTATATTTGACAAGTTTTTACCCGCCCGTGATAGAATCTGTTTAGTAGTTCAGGCGTGAAAGCGTAACAAACAAACCCACTTTCACATTTATAATTTAAGTCTGGATAAATAGTTCTCGACTTGTTAATTAAGAAACTTCGACGTCATTTACTACATAAAACTCTTTCTTGTTCCAGGATCTGAACAGTAACCTGACAGTGCCAGCGCGGTGGGAGGACAGAAATCTTCGCAAGCATCTTGTTAAACCTGGCATCGGTATGACTCCTGTATATATTTTAAACTTTAATATAGCAAGGCTCACTTGCAGATAGACCGCTGCAGATAGGCCGGAGAAAGAGTTTCTTTTTGATAAAATTAAAAAATATCAAATATCTTTACACATCCACATTACGTGAATGAGACTCCAACGGCCTAAACTTACATGTATGTCTTAACTTACTATAAGATGTAATGTAATGATTTAAGAACTTCTTAGAATTACGCAACGGTTAGTATTTTACCTTCGAGTATTCTAAGGATTTTAAAATAATCCTAATAGGTAAGCATTCTATATTGGACACTGATGTGTAGTATAACCTCCTTTCTAAACTCCTTTCTAAGGAGAGGCTTATGTCCAGCAGTGGACTGTCAAAGGCTGTTGATGATGATGATGATGTGTAGTATAATTAAAGTAGTGTTCATTGAATTAAAGTTTGAGAATCCTTTTTAACATTGAACTTTTTTACAGTGAAAGAGAGTCGATGGATAGGCGGGATCTACGACTACGGTGCGCAGTCGTGGCGTTGGGGAGGCGATTTGAGGAAGATGCACTACCAGTCGTTCTCCAAAATGAAGAGGATGAGTCCTGAGGAATTAAAGTGGCACTGCATCGCTATGGTTCCAGAATTGGCATACAGGTTCGTTGATATATAGACTTATAGATTTGAGAAAAAACAATTTAATCAGTAATTCTCTGACCTTTGTTTACTTACACAGAGCTCAGGGCTAGCTTAATACGCAGAACGACCTCCGTCCTCCATAAGCGCAGGCCTGGGGGTGACAGGTGAGGCCATCTGTCACCCTAGCAGAAGCAGGCCGGGGTGGCGGCGAGCGCGTTGCAAAGCGCGCTCGCTTCCAGGGAGCAGAGGGAACATGGGGTTCCCACACGGGGGGGTCGCTACTCGTCTGTAGATGGCCCGAGGTATGTCGGGGCACCAGGGACTTCCTTTCTAGGGTATACCTGGTTCCCCGGCTATTAGTACCCGAGACGGCGTGCGGTTTTAGTCGGTTCGAGTCCGACATGCTACCGATAGGTGGTATCCGAAGGGATTTCCGAACGGAAAAAAAAAGGGCTAGCTTAATAATAATTCTTTAGCATTAACATAATTATTTAGTATAAGGGGTATACAAACAATGGTTCACAATATAACAATGCGAAGATTAAATAAGCTTTTCCTTGATGAATTTAATTTATATTCTGTTGCTGGCAGAGATGTTAATAAATCGACATCTTTTTTAAGATTTTTAAACAATTAACAGGTCTACCGGTTGTGATGAAAACATGTGTAGGTACTGTTAAAAATAAACTGTTAGAAACAGTTTATACAAATGTTTGTTTTGAACATTTGTCAGCGGTCACGGGCAGCGGTTTGTAGATTTTATTTAAAAAAATATTCCTTGGAATTCATATGGCTACATTCATATTTTATGATTATTTAATCATTTGCGTTTAGATTATTTTGTGCAGACTCACAGTTTCTTCTTCTGACATGCCTTATGACTATATCAGCAGAGTCATCAATAGAAAAACAATTTAATAAAAACATCCACCTAGAATTTTAATACTAGCAGACTGAAAATACCACAATGCTGATAAAACCAGCAAAAAACAACAGCTTTAACGGGTTCCTCACAGAGTCAAGAGTAGATTGCGTTTCCTTGATTAGAGTATAGTACCACTAACCCTTCTCTGACAGAACGAGATCGACTAGAATAGTATTTCTCTACTATTCTTGAGAACGAACAAATGTGAATTCAATTCATATTGATTGAAAGTTTTAAAATTGTCTGAAAATATTTGTTAAAACAAACATCGAAGCCGATCTCAGTTTAACTTGAAATGCCGGTCGAGGCAAGCACGAAAGAAAACAATAGGCAATGAAGAGCTAATATTGGGTTTCCAGTGTGTCGAGAAGCAAAATTGGTTTCGTGACAAACATAACAGTGTGGGGTTTCAAGGTTTCGGTTTAGTGAACAAACTCTGGAATTCCATTTAAATCACAAAGAGCCAATTGTGTTTGGTATAAGTTACAATTTTCTAATATTTAAACTTAGTCAAATTATTATTATTGTAGTAATAATGCTTTTTAAATGAGTTTGTAAACAATCACGCAATTCTCTATGTCAATCACTAGTAAATATATTTAAAACGTGATATCATAAAAGTATGGTCTATGTTTTGTTACATAGTGCACTAAATTAATTTACAACAAACGTAGTCTTATAAATTGATTAATGACTAAAAATAGTAGACTACGTTTTTATTGGGGTCAAAAGTTTTAGTTTATTAAGATCAATTCATTTTCGCGTAAACAGTTTAGATTAGGAAGTCTTCAATAAAAGTGAAAACTACTCAAATTCTTTCGTATAATTAATCTTAGACTGTTTTAGGTATGTCAATATGCCGTAAAACAGTAACTACGAGTATAAAGCAAAAGTCATTGCCCATTCGCCTTTTAATCCCAACTTTTTCCGCCATTAAAGTTTTAGTTTTACGATTAATAAAACTGCCTGTCAGCGGTCACTTCAATTCGCTGCCTAATGAAGAGATCAAGAAGTTCGCACAGGATATATGGGACTGGCGATTGCAGCACTACCAAGAGCCTAGCTTTTACAGAGACACATAATAAACATAGATACTACATAAACATGTGGGTACTACACTGGTGTTCCTGAGTCATCACCATCAGGCGACCCGTCTGCCCCCTCTAACATAAAAAAAATGATGACTTTAAAAAAACCCCAAGTACCTCTTGTCAATGGAGATTTGAATACTTTTTTTCTGAAATTTCGAATAGAGTGCATTAAATTTGTAAAATTCTACATACAAATCTATTAATCCAGTATTATAAATACTACCCTGGCAACTGCTGATATCAAATAAACCTCTCTCTTCCATCTTGTCGCTTGTGCAGAGCCCTAATAACCGTTTATAGTTAAACGAAGCGAGATCCTTAGAAAAGTAATAATTTTTACAACTGTTGCGTTGTGTTGGCCTATTGTGCCTTACCGTGATATGACATCATCTGCGACTACAAATTTATTGTTGTTTATGTGTTATTGTTTTTTTTTTATTGTTGTTTATTATTGTTTCACAACATTAGTACAATTTATCTTGGCATGAAGAGAACGATTCTAAAAGAAACAGAATTAAACAGATGTCTAAAACAGTGAAACGTCACGTTAAAATTATTAAAGATGTGGGTAAGCGAAAAATTTAAAGAAAAAAAGGCGAAATTAGAGAAAAGAAAAATATATAACCGATAGAGAAGCTACTATTAAAACAGGCGCATTGAGCGATTTTGTTTTCGTTTTAAATCATTTTTAAATAATTGTTTCAAAAAATCACATACCTACATGCATAGTACCAATATAATTAATCCACAATGTTATCATTAATTATACTTATGCTTTAAATTGCATACAGTTTAAAGGTGCAATGCCATAATGTCGAAATGACATTTTTTTTCAACTTAAACCACTTTAGCATAAGGCAAGTGTAAGATGATGTTTGAAAGATTTTACTAGCATATTTCTCCTCTTCAAATCTCTTTCTAGTTTAAATATAAACTATCATTTTGCAGTAAAATATTTCTTAACAAAAGGAAGTAATTGATCATTCTTCCTAGAGACTTATTTACCGGTCGTGTTGGCATTACGTAATGTTTACAAACAATGACATATGACAATTGTTAAAAATTTATTGCTCGTTTTATATCCATCGTGTGATAATAGCTTCTGAAGGTTATAGTATGTGCGAAGCCATAAATACGTTAATGAACTCCATATGGGAAATATGACAATTTATTCAAATTTATCATTGTAGGTATATGGTCGGCGTGGGATCTTAAAAAAATCAATGAAATTGCCATGTATGAAAATGATCTTTATGTCATATGGTAATTTACTTTATCGTTTTTTTACGTTAATGATCCGTAATATTAACTATTTTTCTAATCTTTTCTCGGGTATTCTACAATAATAACAACAATAATAATGTAAATTTCTTCCTTTTTAAGTTCTTTATCTTTTTTTCTTCATTTTTATTGTATTTTAGAAAAAATATCTTTGTGTAAATAGTCTTCCAAAAGACTTCAAATATCTTTCTTTCAAATATCCAGAAACACCCATAGGTGTTTCTGGATATTTGGTTACAAATTACTGTACCATATCGTATGATTCATTAATTTGATCATTAAAATTTTCTAAAATAAAATTTGATATTTATAAAGATTCATCATTATATTTATTATTTTAGCAATATATGTTTGCGGATTTAACATAAAAGGTTCTGGAGAATAAAATATTATTGTCCTTTTACGCTTAATTTAAAATACTTTGCTGATCTTGATTGTATTGACAGAACCAATTTATAAAATATTCAAAACCAATCCCCAGATGGTCACCACGTAGCTGCATCGAGCCCCGACTGTACATCTGCCAAACAAAACTACAGAAGTTGCCAAAGGCCAAAGTGAAGGACTTGCGAAAACGCTGGGGGCGAATGGGTCAACTGAACGAAATCACAGCACCGAGTGTCAGCCACGAGATCAACGACCATATGATGATAAATGACGTCACCATCAATCCTGTTCATCATCCGAAGTCGTATGATCTCCGCCCGAATCAAGCGCTTCTGGGCCAGAAGCGATACAACTCAAGAAACAGGGTTAGAAACTCGAAATACGATCTGAGACCAAATGAGTTAAGGAAAAGGACAAGACTGGCGATGCGCAGTAGACGGCTCAGGAGACCGTTCCCAGGGTAAGTTGTAAAAACTTTTTTTTTTTGACAACTTCCGCTTTAGGAATATATCCTGTGACGCGGGGGACTGTACAAACATACATGAAACGGACACAAAGTATACCCAGACTCAAAACAACAATTTGTGGATCACACAAAGTGTCGTCCCATGTGGAGATCCACAACACTCTACATTAAGCTTAGTAGTAAGGGACGAGGCGACCGCTTAAACCACTACGCCATCCGTAGTATGGCGTAGTTTTACCCTATCAAGCTTCGCTGTTGCCCATTAAAATTGCATCGGTGAGAAATTAGTAACAAAATTGACACGAAAGATTAAATAAGTCTTTGAAGCAGGTTGTATAACATATCGTCATAAGGCTCAATCGGTGACGAACTTTTTGAGTTGTTTAAGCTTACACATTTAACATTAAAATAACCAACTTTCAAGAAAGGAACAGATTCTCAATTCAATTGTATATATTATATGACGAGCCTGTTGGTCTATTGGTTAGTCACCCTGACTGCTAAGCCGGAGGTCGGGGGTTCGATTCCCACCCGGGACAAATATTTGTGTGATGAGCAGGATTGTTTGTTCAGGATCAGGTTGTTGATTGTTATATAAGTATGTTTATCAGCAGTCTGGTTATTATTGCACAGGCTCCGCCTAGTTTGGGATCAGACTGCCGTTTATGGGGTTTATATTTATTATTATATTTTCATATATTATGTTTTAAGCTATTGCATAGCTTCTATCGAGGGCCTTGAGCGCGGGGACCGAATCCAGAAATTCCGTAACGAAAAAAAACCTCACGCTAAAAACAAAACAAAAAACAGTACCAAAATCAAATGCTGAACGTCAAAGGAAATTTCGTCAACATAATGCAGAAAAATCTTACATGGATATGAAATTTGATTTGATTGATTGATAATAATATTTTTTATTTATTTATTTAAAAACAAATTGTAATATATGCTTCAATATTTTTATTTAATAAAAGAAAAAAAAATGTTTTCTTATCGGTCACCACGCTCAAAAAGTGTAACTTGAATTAATATCAAAGAAAAAGAAATACTGCATAAATAAAATAAATAAATAATTATAATTCCATAAGTTGATACAAAATGCTATGCAATAGCTGTACCGCGGCAGTCCCCGAGTGCCACACGTCTTTTTTTACCTCAGAATTTAGAACAGAACAGTCCTGTTTTTATTTAAGAGGCTGTACTTCTTGTTTGAAAAAAAATAAATGAGAAATACCACCCATAAGGATTAAAAATTAAGGAATATATTTTGTTAATACTTCGATCAGAATGTAGACTGTTGAAAACAATGATACTTTTGAAAAGTTAAAAGGTATAAAAAAATAGTTATGTAATGCCCCTTAATCGACGCTGTAATAGACTATCAGAAAAATATATCTTTAAGCCAAAATAAATACACGGTCCATTAATATCGCAATATCCCCCAACTTTTGCCATTAGGTTGCGATAAAACGTGAGCAGATACTTCAGAACAAAAACACATTAGGACACAGTTATTGCGTCATACATCAAATTAACTGCTACGATTACATGATATCGATGTTTTTGATGTTGTACTTGTTGTTATGTGCTATTGTTGTACTTTCGTTATAATATCAATAATAAATAGTTATGATAAATGTTTTTTGTAAGAAGATAGTGGTGTATTTTTCTTTTGCCGATCCTATAGTCAATAAGTTAAACTTATAATGGTGACGGATTAAGAATACAAATTGTCACCACCCCAATTCATCCCGTGGGTGTCGTAAGAGCCGACTAAGGGAGCAAACTAAGCAGGACAACAGCACTGCAAAGAGAAGGAAAACTTGAAACAAACCCTATACCAACCCGTCTGGCCAGCGTGGTATAGTAGGCCAAAACCTCCTTTCTAAGGAGAGGCCTATGTCCAGCAGTGGACTAGTATAGGCTGTTGATGATGATGATGATGATGATATAATAGCTACAGAAACTAAACGGAAATATCTTAAAACCGGTAGTTTTATATATTTTTTAGGTATCAAACACTATTGAAATTAGTATTAGTATTTCACTCCGGCCCACCGCCTTCAGCTCTATAAGGCACAAGTCCGGCCGCATATGGAATACTGTTCTCATCCCTATGCAGGGGCACTTCAGTACCAGCTTCTCCCTTTGGACCGCATCCAACGAAGAGCGACTCGAATCGTCGATAGTCCAAACATCTCCGATCGGCTCAATCCCTTGAACGTTACGTAGAAATGTGGCTTCACTCTGTATTCTCTATAGCATATATCAATGAGAGTGCTCCGAAGAATTGTTAGGACTAATAACAGCTAGAACTTTCCGCCATCGTTCCACACGGCAAATTTTTTATCCTCATCACCTGGATAGTTGGTGCTCCGCTACTGTACGCTTCTCGAGACACTTTTTGCCCCGCACAACCAATCTGTGGAACGGGTTATCGTCTGCGGTATTTCCGGACCGATACGACCTTCAAACCTTCAAGAAAAAAGCGTACTACTTCCTAAAAGGCCGGCAACGCGTTTGTGACCAGACTTTCATAGGCGGCGATGGTCACTTTCCATCAGGTGACCCGTCTGCTCGTCTGACCCATCTAACATAAAAGAAATATATTCGTCGGAAGTTCCCAAACATGACCAGAAAAATTACTTACTAGGAAAATTCCTTATGTACAGCAAACTTACTCTGAGTCTCAATCTAAATAAGAGAGCTTTAAGAGCTACATGAAGATGTTTAGTACTTAACAATTTTTTACTACCTATGCAATAAATTATATATTTTTTATTTTTCTATATATCTTAAAAAATCTTTTATACAGCTACGATGCCTGCCACTCATTCAGTCATTTTAATCAACAAATGTTGGTTTTCAGGTACACATGGAACCGCCGCGACCCCGAAGGTTCATACCGCCGTAACGCCGAACTACTTAAGTCAGGTCAAACCGGCCTCAGACCACAACAGGTAAAAGCTCATCTGGCAAGACTCCAACGCCTACGCGACAAGCAAATCCAGCGGCTGAAACGCCTCCGTGAGAAGGACGATTGGCTAGAGAACGAACCGCGACAAGCTCTCGCTCAAACTCACCCGAGAACGTATACTGTCGACAACAATATCAGTGCTTTACACCCCAAAACAATTGTGGAAGAATTCGATATGTTTCCAGCACCCGTAGCCCCCGCACCAAAACGTCGGGGCTAATCGAATAACATTGTATCGATTTTAATAATCGTTTTATAACCGATTGTTGAACAGTCGAATATTACTCGATATTATCCTTGTAAGTTCCTTGCAATTTCTCCCGAACTGTTTTTTACTTCTATTATTTATTTATGACACTGTTGCGCGTTTCTGCTTCTTATGAGTTGACAGTTGATGAAGTTGCCATATTAAAACTAAATGTTTCTATTATGTCACTCTAGTGTTGTAATTACGTAATTGTTCGACTGCCATCGCCATCTAAAGCCTTAATCGCTTCAAAGTCATTCCCTTGTTCTTCTTCTCTACCTTCTAGAGTAGTCGGAACTCACGACATTTTGTCTACTCGATGTTAAAAACGAACTTATCGTATTTACTTCATCATAACTGCAATCCAGTGTGAGTCTTGTCAATGTAGTTATAGTTACCACTTATATCTGTGTACTTGTAGACTTTTCGATTCTAGATTTTGTAGACAATCGTGATTGCGATTAATCGTTAGTGTGTAGAAAAACTTGATTCGGCAAATTTAAAACTTTTTATATTCTTGATTTTTTTTTTACTCTTTATAGACGAAGTATTATTACATTATTATACGAGACGACATAAAATATTACTACTTTTATTGTTTTACAATAAAATAAATAGATCTAACTATTTAAGTTGAAGTGAGTAAAACCTCCGTGTGTGTTGATATAGATTCATCCATGTATTTTTTATTACATTTTATTTGTTTAAATTCCACGTGTTTATTATGTAACGATTTTAATGCTGTGCTTTTAAATTAAGAACGTCGTTTTTTCTTATTTAAAATGTCTAATGTACGTATACTAGTCAGTAAGTTTTATGAAAAAAAACTATTACATTAATGTTTAATATTATCTAAAGTCTTGGAAATTAACGTTTATAAGTAAATAATGTAGACACAACACAATTGAATTATTCAACAATGTATGTTTTACTCATTAAAAAAAATTCATTGATTATAATATAATCATATTTATTAAACACAATAAAAATTAAGTGTCGTACGTTATGATTGGCATTTTCTTTTTAATTAGCTTTTAAGTCTACGTTCCAATTTGTTTGTTATTTTTAGTTAAAATCTAATAAAGTAACATATTTAATACTAAACTGCCAGTTATTAGACATAATATAGTCCTCGCATTTATGAAGTAAAATCACATTTTACCTAAGTTTTTGTAAAATATTTTTAAGCAGCCATTGCAATCTATTTTTAATAAAAAACAAATTTTCCAATTTAACCTTTTTAAGTATGATTCATTTCTATTATTAAACTTAAAAAAAACTTTAGTCTTGACTCGTGAAGCGTTCTGATATACTGACAACAAAACTGCAGAATCGTAACTTGATTGCCAACATTTCTGATATTTTAAAATTCGAACGCAATCGTAGCATTTATTCTTTTTTGGGCAGTATTTTAAGTTTTGTTAAGAATTCTACTGATTTACGTTACATAACTTCATTCATTTTTAATTTATTTTATAGAGTATCAATCATATATTGTGTATCTACAATTTTAATTTGAATCCTCAGTTACATAAATTAAAAAAAAGTTTTTAATGGTATGGAATATACTAAAGGTTTACCGAATTTCTAAAAATTTACTAAACAGTGTTTAAAATGAATAAACGCTTTTTTAAGTTTTAAATGCCTAACTTAAAGTTTTATTTTTAACTACTAGATAAGAATGACAGATATTTTCTATGAAATGTGTTATTTCAATCAACGTTGTTTAGATAAGAATAATGACTTATGTGAATAGATCTATACCTAGTCTGTTAGCACTAGTAGATACTGCATCAAAAAGTATTGCTGTCATACCTCACGACAACGTTACATCCTTCATATTATAAATTAAGTTATTACAACTAAGTTATTAAAACTATCTATTTAACATCTCTAATATTACTAAAACATACATTTTTTTTATTTTGATCTGTAAATACTACTTAATATAATTAGTAGTAGCAACACCGAGGTAATTCTTTGTATTAAAAAGAGAACTTATTTGATAGGAACAAATTAACTTCTGTATCTTAAGTATTAATATTTACCTATTTTAAGGAAATAAAGAATCATCAGAATAATGGTTTATTATTTTTCATTACCTTTATGTTACATTACTTATTTATCCTGGTAACATATTTTATTTGGACATGTGAAAGTCGGTATTTTCAAGGAATTGGTACTCGGTACCCAGGTACCACTTCTTGACATCAATTTTTAAATATCTCTCTCTAATAAAAAAGGAATTTAGGAAGGAAAAACAAACATAAGAAAACATTTTCGATTTGTATATAAGGAGAGATCAAATTGGAAAAAATTTTACTACGAATCGAAAGTGGCACAAGGTGTTTTGAAAATCTAATAGAATCTAGACCTTAAGTAAAAACCGAAGGTGTAAAATAATAATTAAAGCGACATAAAAAATTACCGATACAGATGAAGATCCTCCACTAAAAAGCCACACTATCGTTACTGTTTTTGGGGGAACTTTTAAAATTTGTCCTGCCATCTAGTAGTAAGTAGCAATACTAAATAAGGAATTTTAAAAGGTAGTTTTCTTCATGACCAAGAGGTTTTCAAATAAAACGGAATAGATGGAGCTACTGTAGCAAGATTTTTTGTATGCAAGTATTACGTGAAAAGTATATATTATTTATTCAAGAAACAGAACTAATGTACGGCAACGCTGATTTAACTTTTTTTTAATGATTCGGATTGACAAAATAAGGTTTACAGGTAAAGTAAATTGTCTAGAATATTTATAACCTCGGAAAGTTGCAGAGAGGTCCATCGGGCCAATTAGTTAGAATGAATCATATTTGCGTATTATTATTTACAGTTTACTTAATCATATGAGATTGAGCAAACTGTACAGCATCAAATCATTACGGGATGGATGAAGTGGCGGCAGATAACGGAAACAATTTGTGACTCTAGTTTCCCCTTAACACTAAAAGGATAAATCTATAAAACTATAATGAGACCTGCCGTCCTGTATGGTTCTGAAAGTTTACCCAAGTAAATGTAAGCGTCGACATAAGTCAGTGATGTGTCTTCAAGATATATGGGTCTCATTAGTTTTACTCAAGGTTATCTCCAAGCCCAATTTTCGGCTTACTTCGTGTAAAGAGTTCACCATCTGTTGCATTTCGTTTGCACTTTCTGGTGACAGGGCAATGTCGTTCAATTTTAAGTGGCTTAGGTAATTACCATTAATTTTTATGCCAGTTTTTTTCCAGTTTAGCTTACTGATGATGAACTCAAGAACCGCTATGAAAATAGTTGGCGAGAGTGGGTCTCCCTGTCGCACGCCACGTTTTATTTGTATGGGGCTTTCCAGCATCAGTCTTCTAGTACCATTTTCGTAGATGTTTTTAAGGCTCTTATATAATTCAGTGATACTTCTTGGGAGAGTAAAGCTTCCCAAATCGATGAGTAGAGCTTATATCAAAAGCTTTTTAGTAATCGATATAATGAGCATCTCTAGCGAATGTATATGGTCCACTGTGGAGAAGTCTCTTCTGAAACCAGCCTGTACAATCGGTTGGTGTTTTCTGTAGGTAATTTAATTTTTTCTCTATTATTGAGGAGACGAGAAGAGATTGAGGACAAGTAAAAAAGATTGTAATGGATACATGTTTAATTATTAATCCTGCGTCTTAAGATAGCACAAATGTTGCATGAGACAATTTACCTTAATAACATTAGAACCGAATCTGACAAGTAATCATAACTTAACATATCACACACAAAACTGTATTGGTTTTTATTTGAACACTTAATGCTCACACGCGGTGTACAGTAGAACACTCCTAAAGAAAAGGAGAAGAGATACTAACCGTGTGGTGAAGGATAAAGAATACGGAGTGTCACCACCCCTATTCATACCGTGGGTGTCGACTAATGGAGCAAACTCCGTAGGACAACAGCACTGCAAAAAGAAGGAAAACTGAACACAAACCCTATACCAACCCGTATAGCCAGCGTGGTATAGTAGGCCAAAATCTCCTTTCTAAGGAGAGGTCTATGTTCAGCAGTGGACTATTAAAGCTTATTGCTGTGATGTGATGATGAAGCTATCTTCATCATCACATCACATCACACTGGCTCAGCACATCAATACGCCAAACCGATCTCAAATAATATTAAAATGAGATCGGTTTGACCGTCTGGCGTTGAGTAGAAATATAGCTTTAATCTACATCCTCAGTCGGTTGTATCATATAGAGGAATTCGAACTTATACGGGCCGTAGCTTTCCGCCATCGTTCAACGCCACAAAATTTCCATCCGACCATTTCCACCTCTATACGCTATTCGCAAAACTTTTTGCCTTACACAAAAACTCGTAATCTGTGAAATAAATGTCGCCTTTGGTACTTTTGGACTCATTCGACATTCAACCCTTAAGGAAAGAGCGAATTCCTATCTTAAAGGCAACATACTTGCAGGTAGTCACTCACACTTCATTACAAAATGTAAACTTTACATTTGAAGGCTCCTGGAAACAATTGTTTAGTAATAAATAACCCCCATTATTAGTTTTAATTGTCTATAAACCTCAAAAGCTACCTTCCTTGATAAAATACCTCTAAATTATACGGGCGGTTTTTTACGACCTTTTATTCAGCAATTGTAAATCGGCCACGGATCAACGACCCATTGACCGAATCCGCGTTATTTCCAGAGATGTAACGATACCGTTGCCATGGCAACCGATCACAAACAAACTCAGTACCACTATAAACACGACTACCAAGGTACCACTAAAACAAAAACTGTATATTGCGTATCCAGCAACGTACATTGCTAGGTCTTTGAACAGTTATCGCCACTGGATTGGTTTCGTAACAGCAATAGAATGTAAAAGGAAAACTTGTTCTAGACATTTTCATTTCGTAGTAGGTAGTAAATAGTTATAACACGCAAAAATGTGTTTTCTCACATTGTAATAGAGTTACGATGTTATCGATA